AAATCTCTCAAGATTTGCATCAGTTTTTATTCCTGCCAGTTACTGTAAATACTACGCTGTGTATTTGAATGCATATGGACAAAGCCATGTGTCAACGGTACTTCTGCAGGGAAAAAAATGCATTTCAATGTTTTTACTTCAAATAATTTGAAAGATATTTCGCATAACTTAATATTTTTCTTTTCCTTTTTTTATAAAGATTTTTGCCATAGGGCACATGTGCTCACCGGAGAGAGATGTGGAGAGAGAGGAAGTGAGAAATCACCACTCAGGGAGATGGCCATGCTGCTATCTCTCCTCCTCCATTCTCCTCTTGGGCACGCACGCATGCACATCTGGTGTGTTTTCCCAGTTGCTGGATCTGGGACTTGAACCAGGAATCAGTCATATGGGATCCAACACCTTAACCAACAAGCCACCTGCTGGCCCCTTGGAGTTCATTTCTTTCTTTCTTTCTTTTTTTTTTTTTTAAGAGAGACTTTTGCTATTAGGCGTGAACGCTCTCTGGAGAGACAGAGAGAAAGTGAGAAATCACCCCTTGGGGGGATGGCCAGGCCGCAATCCCTTCTCCATTCTCCTCTCAGGATTTTGGGCGCACATGTGAGTTTCAAGCTGGTGAGTCCAGGGCTTGAATCATGGTCAACTACATGGGAATCCAGCGACATAACTATTATACCATTTCTGAAGTACTGTTAGGAATTACAACTGTATCAATGACTAATTGTTGCAGAGCTTCCAAATTGTGATTTTTTTTCTTTTTTTAAAATTTTTTTTATTTTTGCCATAGGGAGCCTTATACTCCGTGGACAAAAGAGAGACAGAGAGAGGGAAGTGAGAAATCACCCCCCAGAGGTGGTGGCCATGCTGTAGTCCCTTCTTTTCATTCTCCTCTTGGGATTTTGGGGAAGCATGCGCATATGCCCTGTGTGATTTTCAAGCCACTGGGTCTGGAACTTGAACTGCTGTCATCCATGTGGGAGTCTACCACCTTAACAACCATGCTACCTGCTGGCGCTCCCAAATTATGATTTCATAGTTGCTTTTATCTTTTAAATTTTATTTATCAATATATTTTAATTAGAAACAAGGCAGGTGTACAATTACATTGTACCAGGATAAGTGGGAAGTTATGAGCAATTCCATTCAACAGTTTGAAAAGTCACTAATATCAAATCAGAAGCAGATGAATCAATGATTAAAAGCAAAACTTCCAAAAACACTCACATACTATTAACACTAAACATTTATATAACATTTATAGGCATTACTTTTTAAACAATAAAATCACATTCATTTATGTTTTTTCTGCTCTACTTGTATAATCTCATAAACATTATGTTTTTGGGTGAAGATCTAGAAAAAAAATCAAGACTCATGTTTTTGTTGTTGTTGTTGTTGTTTTGTTTTGTTTTGCTATCAGGCATGTGTGCCCGCCAGAAAGACAGAGAGACAGAAGGCAAGAACTCACCCCCCAAGGGGGATGGTCACGCCACAATCCCTTCTCTTCCATTCTTCCCTCAGGATCTTGGGCATGCACGCACACACTTCCAGCGTGAGTTTAAGCCACCGGGTCCAGGACTTGAACTGTGGTCGACTACATGGAAGTCCAGCGATGTAGCCATTATGCTATCTGCTGGTCGTAAGATTCATATTTTTAAAAATAAAGATTAACTAATGAAAAGTTGGCTGTATTTCTTTCTTCTGGTAGTTATAACATTATAATTTCCAAGATCTTTAAATGCTTTATTCTATGATTTATGTTTACTAACTGCTTATTAATGTTTATCCCTTTCAAAACTCTGACAATACTTTTTATATTTTTTAAGGTTATTTTTCTCAACTCAAGATACTCATGCATATCATCTGCCAAGTATTTTAGAGTAAGAAAAATTTTAGAGCATCTATTCCAAAGAAAGGGTTGTCGTAGAATTCTTTGGTTTTTACATCACATAGCAATCTCAGATACTTTTTATTTTCCTTTCTCTTCTTTTCTTTTCTCTTCTTTTCTTTTCTTTTCTTTTCTTTTCTTTTCTTTTCTTTTCTTTCCTTTTCCTTTCTTTTCTTTTCTTTATTTTTTTTAGAGAGGTTTTTGCTATAGGGCACATATGCTCACCAGAGTGACAGAAAGCAAGAAATCACCCCCAAGGAGGATGCCACGTGGCAATCCCTTCTCCTCTATTCCCCTCTTGGGATTTTGGGCACACATGTACATGTGAGTTTTAAGTCACCGGGTCCGGGACTTGAACTGCAGTTGACAACATGGCAGTCCAGTGACATAACATTACGCTATCTGCTGGTCCCCTCAGATGCTGTTTCACATGAAGTGAATACAACACATTCCAAAAATGTGTTGTATTGAGTCATATTGACTATTGTACTATAAACATCATTACAATAGGACTAGCCTATCCTTGAGTGAAAAAAATCAGAGCTTACGATGTAAGAAAAATGATTAATCATGTATAACATACCATTGAAAGTAACTTTTCTGGCCCAGCTGCAGTGGTGAAAGTGGGAGGGTGTTGCTCTGCAGTGACTGAAGCCGTGTGGGATGCCCAGGTTCAGTTCCCAGCCCAACATAAACAGGCTGGGCTTGGTGACAGCGCCTATGATCTTAGCTAACTGGGAGGCTGGGGCAGGACCTGTCAAAAAATGCCTCACTCTCTTTTCCCCTCCTTCCTCCTCTCTTCTCATAAAAACAAGAAAAAAGAAAAAAGAAAGAAGCTCTCCTGTCAGATATGGTTGTGTAAGTGCAGTCTCTCCATTCACCCTACAGTTACTGGTGCCTACCTGCCAGGCACTGTGCTAGGGTCCATGCATACCAAGATGGACAAAATAAGCTGCTTCCCCTGCAGTCACTCACAGCCTCATGGAGACATCTGTCCAGTAAACAGAGACCTATGAAACAGTAAGACCTGGACTTGGGCAGGATCAAGTTTTCTTTCCTTCTTACTTCTGTTTACTACTGGAGTGATATTTTACCTTGGCAAGGTGAAATAAAGAGGCAAAGCATTTCTCAGCATAATAATTAGCAAGAGAGGAAGAGAGGAGTCCAAAGGCTTTGTACAAAGAATTAGAAAGGTTTAGGCTTTTCTGCTTAAACACAGGGACTTATCCTGTCCCAAGAGACATGGGGAGCACTCCTTCAGAATGGGGCAAAGACTACGAGGCCTGGACCTGGGAGAGGCGGGAGGGACAGAAAGGTCCAGTTAAACAAGAGAGTTGAGAAGAAAGTAGGGCAGAACTCCTGGATTCTTCCTGGAGCAGAGTCTGCATAGCCCGAAAAGTGAGGTCATAGAAATTAAGTAAGGAAATACTGTCTGTGTTCCTGATTGGTCAATGGGGAGATGGTTACCTTCTTAGAAGGTGGGGATAAGAATGGCTGTTACTACTGCGATGGTGTGTTCTCAGCCTTCCACAGGGACTCGTGGGATGGGAAAGGAGGGAGTCACCGAGTCAGGCTGCACAGCTGATGTGGGAGGGTGGCCGAGAGATGAGATGTTGAGGAACCTGTGCACTGAGCAGTAAGGCTCAGGTACGGGCCGTGTGTTCAAAGCTGCTGACCCCATGTTGGTGCTTTCTCACTCAATAGCCATCCATTACCACGACTGTTCTTACCCTGAACAGATACCGGGTCAGGAAGTACAACTCAGTGTGGAGCAAAAGCATCTCCTTTTGAGGAGGAGGAAAAAAAGAAAGGATGGGCTGCATTGCCCTCCTCAGGGATAGAGTCCACAGGCGACAGAGACTTGTAGTACTCGTCTTCCCCATCGAGCACTTTGATTTGGCTGCAACAAAGGGAAAAAAAAAAGAGGATTTTCAGCAAGAAAAGAGAACAAATGCTGTAGTCATCCCTGGAGTAGTAAAGCCGTGTGAATAGTTGGAACTGGGTCGAGTCCCAGCACTAGCAAGGAAGGGTAATTTGAGTGGCTTAGGGTCTCCCAGCACCGAGGTCCTGAGCTCTGATCCACGATTCTGGGTCGCACACTGAGAACAGCCCGCTAGTGGTGTCTGAAAGCTGTGGTCATACTGCAAGTTGATTTATGTGATTGAACTGTCTGCCTCGTCTGTTCCCTCTAGATGAGGCTCCCTCCGTCCCCCGCCCCCCGCCAGTTCTCAACCTAGTGCCAGTGATCTTCACTGCCATTCTCCACCATAAACCACAAACTCCTTACTCTCCCCGTCTAACCACCGCGGGAAGTTTTTCTTTGTGCATGTTTTAAGGTCTGGGAGTAGGCAAATGTGGAGGAAGTGGCCTATTTGCACTTCTTAGAGTGCGCTTGGTTGTGTAAGGAGAGTATTATACAACCCGCTACACGTCTCCAGTTACAAAAATAGTGCAGTCCCCTGGAATAATGATGAGAATAACTTCTGCCCTTAGGTGACAACTTCAACCTCTTTGGACAGATCAGATTCAAGTTTTTTACACTTGCTACTGTGAAAAGTAGTTTCCAATGTCAATAACAGTGGCACTATCAGGATGGCATATTTTTAGAAGCCTCTCTGGAAAGTTTTGCATTTTCTGTAATATCACAAAGGACCCCTTCTGTTTACAGTTGCTTAGAACTAAGAAGACAGATATTTACCCAAGTTTTCTTGGCTTCCTCTTGCTCCCTTGATATTCTAGAGTTCCCTGTGGAGAGGGCCAAGAACACACAGTCAAAGCAAAGCAGCAAGTCGTTAATTTTTAATTCAAAGTGATTTTGTGTTGAATGCAAGCAGATGCTGATAATATCAGAAGTCACAGCATAATTTTTTTGATCAAAGGGCTCAAGTGAGCCTGATGAAGCATGCATCTTGCTCGTCTTTGATAAACCACATCAATTATTCACCGTGAAGGCAGACATCCTGACATGAAAGCAACAGATAAAGAGCCTAAGCACATGTTCAAGACGAGAGCATAAGAGAGTGGGGGTGGGGCTGGAGGGGCTGGAACAGGTATTAATAACAGAATTATTAACTGGAAACAAAGCCAGTGAAACAGCTTTATGGCCACTTTGAACTCACATTTAACTGGTTATAGTACATGGTGTCCTCAGGGCTACTCAGCGTTTTGGGCTGCTGACATCGTCGGCGAGGTGTTCGCTGCTTCTGTGCAAGACCGTTTTCTGAACCTGTAACGAGATAGCAAAACTTGACTGTAAACCATCCCAGGTGTGGGGAATATTCCGTGAAGAATGGCTTATCACATAAATCCACTTAGTAGGAGTTGTGTCCTGTTTTAATGGGCACGTTAGAAGCTTTGCTCACATTAGGAGAAATGTCATCCTAAAAAAACACACATGAAGATTGCTAAGTATAAACAAGGGACGCTGTCTGTAACTTCTCCCTCACCTTTCTGATCTGAGTCAGCGCTCCAGAGTGACAGAAAACAAGCAGGATTGCTCGCTCTGGTGCAGTATAATAGAAGGTGGTGGCCAGTCTTTGCCATTTAGCTGCCCATAGGGGAATAACTCAGTTGGGAGAACCGAGGCCATCTGGGATCGCTTGTACCACGTCTACAGTGAGAGTTCAAAGACATCTGGAGTACACATCCCCTTGGGGAGATGAGAACCAAACCTTTTTGTTGGATACATTGGGGCGGGGGGGGGGGGGGTGGGTTGTGTGTGG